TTGTGTTCCAGTTATCTCCCCTTCTCTACCCTACATTTTTAGGTATATTATCCAATATATGTCTAACTATAATCTCATTACTGATGAGTGAGGTCATAACAGATACAGTATATATATATATATATATATATATATATATATTTATTTATTTATTTATAAGTAGATTTTATTAATCTTTAAAAAATTTGGAATAGTTGGCTTTGTGGCTTTGAGCCAAAACCAATCCACATCAGCAGAGTAATATATTTTTCATTTGAATTTTGACAATTGTATGTATAAACATCTGATTTTACTTCCAATTTGGTGATAAGGTACTCTTTTGGAATAAGTATTCTTTTAAAAATAATTTTTAAGCCAGGCCCTCAGGTTACAGAGGAATACAAGGTAAACAAGCTCTCTGCCTGCTGTAGCTTACTTTCTTACACAAAGTGCACAGACCTAAGCCATCCAACTAAAGATGGCTTTCCAACAAGCCCTTGGTTGGGCGTTGGGAGGAACGAGTGGGTTGTAGGAGGGTGGAAAGAGGATGCTGCTGTTCAGCTTCACTGAGGACTAGCTATAAGGAGCACGTGGCCAGTGTTATATCATCTAAGTTTCTCATGAAAAGCTGAGATGCTGACGTTTTACATAAAATCTCACTGCTTTTAAATGTTTCCAGCTAATTAAAATTAACTTCTGGCCCAAAAAAGTCTGTAGTCTGTTTATAACTTAAAAGTCATCAGATTTTGGAATTTGGATTTGGAGGCAGACTCTCGAAATGAAATAAATTATAGATGATTTGTGAAAGTGGCTGAACCTTAAAGGATGTGCAAATCTAAGCCTCAGTGAAGGCACTCTGCAGACCATCGTGCTCACTCCTGTAGCCCCCGCAGCTGGGAGGCTGAGGGCAGTGGGTCACCACGAGTTCAAGGCCGGCCAAAACTACATCACGAGACCCTGTCTGTAAAAAAGTAAAAATGAAAGCACTTTAATGGTGATTTCTCAAAGGTCACACCACAACATAGACAATAAGCAGCAATTAAATTGGATTAGGAGCACAGACTACGTGAAGAGGAAAATGGAGCTAAGTGAGAGAACAGAGCAAAATCTAGCTGCAGAAGGAGCATCCAGGTGTCTTAATACCCATTCATGCCAGGCTAACCCTCATCTCCAGCTGGCTGAAGACTGACTTGTGCTTGTGCCACCACCATGTTCTTTTGTCTTGAGATAACTGAACTTTGTATCACCACTCTGCAAGTTGTGCACTGTAGGCCTTAAGTACAGGCTTTACATAGCTTAATCAAAAGATGATGATTTGTAAAATAACCTCCTGCCTTGCTTGGGTTTCTTCCCCTTTCCTCACATATTCACTAATTTCCATTGTGTTCCCCATCTGCCTCGGGGTTGAATTACAGAGGTAAATTAGGCTCCAGGTCCCTCCGTACAAAATCCCACTCTTACATTTATTTTACTGTCCACTCCAGTCTCAGAGGAGTAGGTGCCTGGAGCTTGGAGCTAAGCATTCTCCCTTTCCTGTTTATTTTTTCCCTTCCTGCCTTCCCAGAAGCCATGTCCTGTGAGTTGTTATTCTTTTTTGTAAAACAACAAACAAAAAAACCTCCCTATAGCTTTCCACGGCTGTGTAGTATTCATATCACTGTCCTTATATTCTAGCATCTTGAAAGAATAATCTGTTACTGTGCACTGAGCCTTCCCCTTGCTGCAAGTAGCAGTTTATTTACAAGTTCCAGGAGGAGTGGAGCTTGCTTTCTGCCTCCACCCCATTGCCAGAATCCACTAAAAACGCTGCTTAGGAGAGTCAGCCTTCCACAGCACAGGCTTTGGTCTTCATCTTACTGTGTCTTATAACACTTGACACAGTAGACTACTCCCTGTTTCTGTGCTGCCATGCAACTCCTAGAGGTCCTTTGACCTCTGTTCTTCCTTTTCAGTCTTATTGCTAATTCCCGTCTTTGCCCCTAAAGTCATCGTTTGACCCTCATTCTCACTTTATGTTGCTCCTTGAGTAATCTCATTCTTGGCTCGAGCTTCAGCCACTTTGCTCAATAGGTTTCCAAATCTGTGTGCCTCCAGCCCCAAGCTTTCTCCCAAGTCCATCACGTTTAGCCACCTACTTGAGGACATCTGTTTGGGTTTCTGACAGGCACCTCTAGCTCATGTCTAAGGTCGATGTTTACCCTTTGGTCACTTTTCCTCTGAAAGCTACCATCCCTGGTTTAGTTGCCAACACAGAAAACTCGAAGATTCCCAAGATTCTTTCCTTACCTGTAGAACTAAATCTTACCTCCTAAATAATCTCTTTTAAGTATCCCTCTATTTTTGTTCCCACACCATGATCTTGGTACAGATCCTTAAAATTATTTTCTTAAGCTAGCTATTAAAATAGTCAAATCTTTGTTTCTAGTCTGGTTTTCTTCTTCAGTTTGTCTTCCATATGGTTGCCAAGGATTATTCTAAAATACAGTTTGTCATTTCTCTATAAAACTTAAAATGATACAGTCACCCACATGGTGAAATCCAAACTTTACCTCCTTGGCTTACTTCTAGTGGATGCTAAACCACTTCCACATTATGCTTCCTGCTCACTCATACTGAATGCTGTGTTTTGCATGGGATGGCCGTCCCCATCGTTAGCCCTGTGAGCTGTGGTTTCCCTGAATACCAGCTTGAGTGTCACCTCTGTGAAGACCTTTCGCTAACATCTGAGGCACAGTCCCTCATTCTCTCCTTTGTGCCATTGTTATTTTTTTGTTTTTAGTACTTTTGACCTGTGCTGTACTGTAATTCTGCATTTTATTCGTTGAGCTTGCATCCTGGACCTTGAGTTTCTTTAGATCTCTCATGCTTAACAAAGTACCTTACCAATCGTAAGAGCCCCAAGAGCTCCTTGAATGTTTGCTGAAAGAGCAAACACTTGAGCTTTCTATAAATTGAGTCTAGAAATACATACTGGCTCAAGGATGGTTTTTTTCATTGTTTAATGGTCATCTTCCTAAGAGAACAAGAATATGCCAAGAGCTGAGGCAGCCTAGAAGAAGGAGGGAAAATCTTTGCAGAAGACAGAAAATGGAAAGTAGCCTGTGTATGTACAGAGAAGGGTCAATACATGAGGCATCCACAGTGTATTTAGCAAAGAAAGCAAGGCTGCAAATGGAGAGCCCATTCAGCTCTGAGGAAACAGCAGAGGTTTTACCCAGGGTGCAATGCTATCCTACTTTTGTTCTGCAAAGATACCTTGAACAGTTATGTGGAATAAGGGATGAAAAGATGTGAGACTGGTTAGAGAAAGCTGCTAGAATGAATTCTCACAGTTGCAGTATTTGACTAGCAAAGGATTTTGCAGATGGTGTCAGGGGAGAATACGGCTCTGCTGTTCTCTCTTCTTGGTAAAACAGCAAAACCTCCGCTTTCATGGTTGAATCCAGGAACCCTGTATGTGTGTAAGCATTTGTGCTGTGACACCAGAGCCGGTTGCTTTCCTCTTGTCATTCTGAGAAATGCATGGGGACATACTGCTCACAGTTTTCTGCCTGAAGGCTGAATTATTTCGTTTTCATGTAACTGTATGATTACTATGACAAAAAACAAGCATGTATTGGTCAAGTGAGGACCACCAGAAAATATTCTCTTCACCTTTGGCAGATCACCTGAACAGCCAGGTTCAGTCCCTTCCTTTTTAAAACTCCCAGTGTCAAACAGGATATTCTGTGATGTATTTAAAAATTAGATTAAAAAGTAGCTTCCAATGTTGCACCAGTTCTTCCTGCTATAGGATCTTGTGTTCCAGTTATCTCCCCTTCTCTACCCTACATTTTTAGGTATATTATCCACTTAGCAAAAGTTCATTTGACTTTAAAACTATTGGCTAAAGCCTTATCTGCTTTGAAGGCAAAATTTGTCTTAAATCATTTTTTTAAAATCATAGTGTCTATTACAGAGTTGGTACATTTGTTCCAGTGAAAGAGTAAGAAATGTTCTTTTCATAAAAATAGGATTTTTCTACATAAAAGAGCAGCTGTTTAGTAGTATATTTCATTTTCTTCCACCAATGTTGGCCTTTTATCACTTTTAACTATCTTAATCTTTAGTCATTTTGTCATTTTACATTGTTTTGTGGTTCTTTTTGTTTAAACCATTTATTCTTATCATCTCAATTTAAACTTTAATAATTTCAGTGAATCTTATTTTTTTTTTACTACTGAGTATCTTTATTAAAACTAATAATAGTAAGCCTGGTGGTAGATGAGCCCTGAGTTCAACCCCAAACACACAAAAAAATTCAAAATAAACCTTCTCAATCATGTGTACAATGAATGTGTTGGTGTGATGTGGGCCTAGATCTCTGATTCTTCCTCCTCCGTGACATTGTACCTGCCCGGGATGAGTATTAAAGATACCTATATACACAGAAAATTCATTTCTTCCGCTGATAACTCATCAAGGTTTCCTTAATTTATGTAAATATTTTATTTGAGGAGGCACTGGTGACAAGGAGTATGTCAGATTTATTCAGAAAATTGTATGATCTATCACTATATTCTGACATAGTCCTATCCAGCATCCACTGAGAATTGCTACCGAAGAGACCACAGTTACTGAAGGTCTTAAAGTTGAAAGTGTCAAATTTGAATCTCATGTATATTATTTCCCTCTGTTTTGCACAAACTTCAGTTTGCTATATTATTTGAAAAGAGGGCTTCCTTTTGTTTCCTCAGAGTGCCTCTGTCCAGTGTTAAAGGTATCTGCACTACACTATAGTTCAGTTATTTGAAAATTTAATTAAAAACTGTCCTGGGTGATGTTCACCCAGGATTTCTCACTCTGATCAAGTGTGTATGTATATACACAGTGCACTCCATTCCTTCCGCCTATTTCTCATTCACTACAGCTCTCAAGTTCCTAAAGTCATTTTAGCTTCTTCTTCTCTGAATCATCTCCAGCTTTATTTTATCTTTTTTGAGGTCAGTGGTCTCCATTACAGCAGGATTTCAACTGTGGCTTTATGTAAGATACTGTGTTGTTTTCTATGATTGTCCTTGGAAAGACATTTAAATAACATTCTACGGAAAGCCTTAAGTAAATTCTGTCAGTTTTTATCTTTTGATTAAACACTAGTATTCGCCTTGAAATTGTACTTGAAGGAAGGGAAGCACTCCTACATAAAGCTGGTGATTATTACTTAGTATCTTCCTTAATGATGTTTACAGATCACCAAGGAAAAAATCTCTGTAGTGCAAGGTTCTTTCACGAAAGTATTGTATGTCAGCATCTTTTAGAGGTATCAGCCTACGCTGTTGGCAAGGTAACATTTACCAAGGACCTGCACCAAGTGTTTCCTTGGGTTCTCTTCTGTCCCAAGCATTTTACCAATATTACCAGAGGAAAAGAAAGAGTACTTATTTTGTGCCAGATATTTTTTAATAACCTTGCATGTATTAACATATGAAGTAGAAATTCCTCTATTTCTATAGATCAAAAAGTTTGGGTAGAAATGCAAAATATTTTACTCAAAGTCAGCCAGCTAGTAGGTGGTAAAGCCATTATTGAAGCCTAGTTAGACTAACTCTTGGGCCTATCTTCTCAGTGAGCTTCATGTGCTTATGTATTGCTGCTAACTTAAAAATTAGCTTATCCTATTTTTGAATCTATTTATTTCTCATACCTTTCTCCCCCTAATTATTATAAATAGTTAAAGATGTTCCCTTATGTACCTTCCTGGAAAAATCCTAATCTGACCTTCGCTATCTTTACTTTATTATTTCTATAAAACTGAACTTTAAAAAAACATTAGAGGTCAGAAACTTTAAACATGACCTTTATCAGTTACCTGCCAGTGACAGGGGCCCAGCTTTTACCAAACAGAGGTGCAGAATGCCTCTATAAAGGCTCACTGCTTGGCAGGTGTCTCATACCTCCCTGTGTGGATGTGTGGTGGATGATGATGGGGCATACCCACAGATCCCTGTCTATAACCTCTTCTGTTTTCACAGTGGACAGCCTACTGAAGTACACTGGCTATGGGAATGCTGCAGGACTGTTGGCTGCCAGGGGCCTCTTGGCTGGAGGAAGAGGAGATAATTGGTACTCAGAGGATGAGGATACAGACACTGAGGAATACAAAAATGCAAAACCAAAGTATAGTATCAATTTTCTTGTCTAACTATAGCTATGGTTATTTGCCTTTTACTTCCTTAGTCTTTCATTTTCCAATGTTTCTTTTCTCTTGTGGATTTGGAAACTCACCATTTAATGGTGTTTTTAGAGGTAGTTTCATAGCCATGGCCTTAGAGAGTGACTGCAAGTGACTGAAGAAGGATAATATCACAAGCAATGTTCTACTACATATTTTCAACATGTTTCTTATCCTCTTTTAAATAATAAGAAAGCTGGTGGTTTTAGATAGCTTCTATCTACTAAAGTATGTATTTGTTTTTATTTTGCCTTCCTTTCTATAGGTTGAGATTATGTAAGGTATAACTAAAACCAAGTATTTAAGTCCATTTTTTGATGAATCAGTCTTTCTGAGAAATATAAATGCAGTTTTCATACATTATGAAAAGCCCTTCCAAGTCAAAAAGTAATGAACAAAGCATAATTGCCAGTAAAAAGCTAAGAAGTCTGGCTATACATGGAATTTGAATCAAATGTACCTTAAGAAAGACAACTTTTATTGCATTAGTGCATTGACTAGGCAGACTAGAAATTCTGTGAAGTCTTTTCTGAGTCAGAGCTTACAAAATGAAGGACAGCAATTCTTTTTTCCCAAGACAAATACCTCTCCTTCCTTCCATTGCCTCCCTCATTTCTATTCCCTCCCTGTCCTTATCATCCCTTTAACCCTCATCCCAGGTGAGTTTCTTATTTTCCACTAGTAGGAGCTGATCTCAGGGATCTTTCGGTGGATTTTTAATCAATATTAAGAAGCTGTGCCTGTTCTTCTTGGCATTTTGAGTAATGTTGATATGCTGTTTTCTACTGATGGGTTTTAGAGTATGATGTGGGTCATGTAGTAGGTGGTCAAGGATAGAAACTCATCTAAGCTAAAAATTGTTTAATATGAAAAGCGAAGTTGTGTTTGCATGTATGTGTGTTTGTAGATTGTGCCCTGTTGATGTGAAAGTGATAGGCTGTCAGAAAATGAAAGAAATGACCAGTCCCCAGTCAGGCAAGAACAATACAGTTTGTTTCTTGGTAAATTAGGTACTTTAAACATCATGAGAGCTGTCTACCTCAGCATGATCTTACAGAATGTGTGCTAGGACCTTGGGGAAAAATGATTAGTGACCCCAAGAAATGTTCTTAAGACTGCCACAATTCAGATGTCATAGTCTCTGTTTGACACTAAGATAGAGGACTCCTACTTCTTTCCCTGTCATTCTAAATTGCTTGTGCTAGCCCTTCCTTTTTCTAGCCCATAAGCTATATTTTCATAACAGTCTAATATTTTATGCTTGTTTCACTTGAGACATGAAACATACCGCTGAACATTGTGATGGGATCTCACTGTGTTGCCCAGGCTGGTCTCAGACTGCTGAGTGCAGGTACTCTTTCTGCATCAGCTTCCTGAGGAGCTGGGACTATGAGCACGTGCTGCCACACCCAGCCACGCTCTTGTGTTTCTAAAATGAAGGGGGAGATTACCTCAGATCTTCCTTGAATCCTGATGCATGAGGACAGTTAACTAGCAAGAAAACTGGAGCCCTCATGAATGGCTGATGCCTTTCCATCTGAGGGTGTACTGTTGATTAGAATGGTCATGATCACATGTCTGGCAAGTGGTAGAATGCTGTCCTAACAAGAAGAAACCTGAAAGAAAAGGCAGAAACATGGGGTATCTCCCAAGGATACAAGAAATAGAATTATGTTACATTATGAAAGTAATGTTAGGAGAAGCACCAAGATGGTGGAGTGGTCAGTAGCAGAGAAAGCTCTGAGAGTTGCCATCTAGACACTGGAATATAGCAACTCAAAGAAGCAAGAAATAGGGAAGTGAGTCTCCTGGATACAGGAAGGATCTGAAGCACATGAATTGAAGCCCATGGAGAAAGTGAAGAGAGAAACTTCAACAGAGAAGGAGGTCAACACTGAAGAAGGAGATAACTGGCAGCACCTTCTCCCTGAGATGAGACTCATTGTGTGCGAGGAGTGGTTCAAACCTGCGGATACACAGTGATCGCTGGTGGTCCGAGAGACCTCCACAGGGAAGTGTAGTAGTGGATAAGAAGGACTGTACTAAGTGGTGGTGAGTGCTGAAGGCTCAGTGGTCCCTTGAGAGAGAGGGATTGGCCAGGAGCCATCATGGAGAGGGTGTCGCTGAGCTCAGAACTCAGGGCTGCTGCTGGCTCCATCTAGGGGCTCCCAGGTGGGCACAGGCCTGTAGAAGGTGGGGGCTCACTGAGGTCATCCATTACATCACCAAAAAGCTACTGCTGTCTTGCTGGGATGAATCCACACAGATCTGGACTCTGTCTCCACACATTGTCTACCAGTGACAGCAGAGACAAACCTAGAAGTGAACTTTCTTCTTTTTTTCTCTCTCATTTGTTTTGTTGTAGTATGTGAGGGGTGGTTTTGTTTTTGTTTTGGGGGGTTTCTTTCTTTCCTTCATTGTTTGATCTTGTTTTTATATGAGTGTGAATGTGGTTTCTAGCTTCTCTCTGGTTCTTGATCTGTTCTATTCTTTTTTATCTTTTTTCTCTCTTTCCCTGTAGTCTTTTGCACCAGTTTCCCAAAGTTAGCATGATCCCCCTTTGCTCTCTAGCTTTATGTCTAATCGCTTCCTCTTCTACCTCTCTATTCTCTCCACACCCTTTTAAATTTTAACCCCTGAGGGAAAAATTGACATATTAAGGACTTATACTCTGCATATAATTTCTAGTTTCTTTCAGACTTTGTTATAACCACAAATATAGTTCATACTTTCAAAGGTGCCAAATCAATGGTTATCTCAGTTTCTCATTTCCTAGGCAGTGCTTAATGCTGTTGTTATTGCTGATGGTATCACTGTAACCAAAAGTGACATAATTGTTCTAAACAGCTATTCCTCGTGGTATTCCAAGACTGAAGTTGACTGAGTGTCATACAAAACACTGTGGCATGATACCAGAGAACCAGTGAAGGACTATACTAGGTGGTAGTGAGTTGGACCAAGCAGGCAGCACCTTCTCATGCCGGACAAATTGAAGATGTGGAATCTTGTAACAGATTCAAAAATCAAAAGCAAGCTACACCTGGAAGATACCTTGGAGAAAATCATCTCATAAAGGTTCTAAATACTAGCAATAAATTAACCCACCATAGGCAGTTTATAAGATGCAACCCCAGATACCCAGTTCAGCAAAGGCAAATCTAGGGGGCATTGAGGTGGGACAATACAAAAGCTACCCCCCTCACCTCTGTGAAGTGGGAAGAGCAAAGCAACTGAATGAAACTAGAAAAAAATCAAGTCAGAAATAATTTCTCAGATAACTGCAGAGATGACGTCTGCAATGAAAACTATACTCAGTGACTCTTGAACAGATACACATTAAAAAAAAAAAAAGAGCTTAAGAAAATTATGGAAGCCATCAATGCTCAGCATAGAAAAATGGAATCCATAAGGCACATTCAAGCAGATATCCAAGGGTCAGGGAGATAGCTCAGTAGAATAAGCTCTTGCTGGCAAGCACAAGGTCCTGAGTTCAATCCCAGGTACCACCAAAAAAAAAAAAAAAAATCAAGCAGATACCTAGGAGAATAAAACTTCCATTGAAAGTACCACAACGGGATAAGCCGGCATGAGGACAAATCTCAGATATAGAAGACAGGCTTGCAGTTAGTGATCATGAAAAGGATGTCAATGAAAAAGCAGGAGATAGCACAAATAAAATATTAAAAATAAAAATTAAAAACTGTTCACAGATACCACAGCTAAAAACTTCCCTAATAGGGAAAAAGATTTTGACATACACCCTAATAGGGAAAAAGAATTTGACTTACACATAAGTGAAGCATATAGAACTCCAAATAGACATGATCACACACACACACACACACACACACACACACACACACACACAAATCTACAGCCAGGTGTATCATAGTCAAGATTCTAGAAATTCAACAGAACAATAGAATCTTAAAAGGAGTTACAAAAAAGAAACAAATTGCCTATAAAGGAAAGCCCATCAGAATCACAGCTGACTTCTCAGCACAAACCCTCAAGTCAAGGAGAGCTTGAAGTGTGAAGTATTTCAACATCTTAAGGAAAACAACCTTTAACTCAGAATGATATACCCCACAAAACTATCTTTCAAAACTGATGGAGAGAGCTGCAGCATAAGCTTGATGGTGTAAACACATGTCTGACAAGTGCAAGGACCTAAGTATGATCCCCTGTACTGCATGCCATGCTGGCCCAGAACCCCAGACGTGCCTTTCCGGCCCCAAAACCACGGTAATCCCAGCACATGCCTGTAATCCCAGCATTTGGGGAGGCTGAGACAGGAGGATCACTGAGTCTGAATTGCATAGCAAAACCCTGTACCAAATAAATTAACTAACTGATACTTCCATGACAAGGAATATCTGAGGAAATTGATGGCCACCAAACCAGCACTCCAAAATATTTTGAAGGACATACTAGAAAGAAATATCAAGGAGAACTTCATGAACCCCAACAGAAGGAGTCCATCAGGTAAGTCAAACAGAGGGTAGAAAAAATGGGGGGAGCCAACAACAGGAAAATAACATGACAAGAAATAGTCAGTGCATATCACTTACAGCCATCAATGTTAATGGTCTCAATTCACCAATCAAAAGACATAGAGTGACAGAATGGATCAAGAAGCAAGATCCAGCAATGTACTACATATAAGAAATACATTTAGCTTTATGCCAATAAATTTGAAAACATTGAAAAAAAAATAAAAGAAAAGAAAAGAAAAAAAAAAAGAAAGAAAGAAATACATTTAATTCAAAAAGAAATTCATACACTGAAGCCTGGGAGATAGCTCAGTGGCATAAGCACCTGCCTGGCAAGCACAAGTTCCTGAGTTCTATCCCCATTACAAAAAAAGCTCACTGAAAATGTAAGGATGAAAAACAATATTCCATGCAACAGGAACTAAGAAAAAAGCAGGGTAGCTATTCTATTT